CCCAAGGTGGCGCAACAAAGTATTGATATTTTAAATAAATAAAGAAATAGATGAGAAAAAAGTTTTTTAAAAAAAAAATTTTTTTTTTATATATAAAAAATCATCACTTAATTAATCACTATCCAATCGTTCCGATACCTATGATCACCCTCTGTATTTAAATTTGAAGAAATAAATTGAATTTTGTTTTTTAATTTGATAATATATATAATAAGAATTTTTTTTATTTTATATAATTAATAAAAAATTTTAATATTTTTTTAATTCTTAAATAAATAATAAAATTAATTAATTTATTAGATAAAATCTAATCTTTTAAAAGTATAATATTTAGAAAAATATTAGATATTAATCCAACTATAAAAAATAACAATAAATATTAGTTTATTGAAATTTTATTATAAATTAAAGAAATTTTAATTTATTATTTTTTTAAAAAAAAAGATAAAATAAGACTTGTTTTAATTAAATAATTAAAAATATTAAGATTTAAATATTTTTATATAAAGAACTTGGAACTTTATTTTTTAAAATTGATAATAAATAAAAATGCTTTATATAATAATAATAATAATTATTATTATTATTATATATATTTTAATTATTTTTAATTGTTTTAATATTTTTAATATTTTGATTATTTTAGTTATTTTTACTATTACTATTTGATTACTTTAATTATTTTGTTAATAATATAAATAAAAAAACATGTAAATGAGATTAAATCTTTTAATAAACATTAGCAACTACTATTAACAACTATCATTGATAACTGTTATTGATAACTTCTATTTAAAAAACTGATATAATAGTTTAAACAGTTATTTAATATATACAATAGAAATTTTGATAATAGTTTTAGTCGTCACTTAGAATTGGTTTTGTATAAATAAATGTTATATATATATATACAGTATATATGCTATTTTTTTTTGAAACATGTAATTATTAGGTTTATTAAAAATCTCAAATCAAATATTTTTCATGCTGTCCTGAAAAACAAATCTCAATCAGGTAATATAAAATAAATTATAATACTGTATTGTTTACATACCGTGATTTGTGCGGATCTTCAGAATGCAAACTAGTGGTTCACTTATTCCTATCACCGATGGACGATTGGGTTTGTGTTCGAATTATTGAATTATTAGGGTAACGGTGAGAACCTTCTTGCGTAATTTTAACTCACTACACTATCAAAAATTTCCATTCACTTTAACATGAGTTGATAAACCGTTTATTTAATCGGATTTAAGTGAAACAATTTCATGCGCATATAATTTATTAACCCTTTATAACCATTGCACAAATAGACAATTCACTCTAAAAATAGCCAACAGTCTAAAAATGATCGATTTTTTTTTTTTTTTGGTAATTTTACAAAATTAATAAATGAAAAAAAAAACACCTATGTATCCTACTATCTACCTCTTCAGTAATCATCTTCCTCCTCGACTTCCTCTTCAACAATACTTACCAATTTTTTCCTCTCATTGTATGAGGCTTTTAATTTTTGTAGAACTGGGTCTTGTTGTAAACGGTACCTTTTCTTTAATTGTTCTAAAACAGGATCACGTGACTTGTCTTGATCTTTTGGTGAACTATCCTTTGATGGTTCAACCTTTTCAACGGGTTTCTGATCGTCTTTGCTTTTTTCGGATTCTGGTTTCTCCTGAGCACCTGATTTCAGAGTGTCGCTTTGTTGTTTTAATGACTTTGTTGCTGATCTTTTAATATTAAAAATATCCTCTGCAACACTCCGCGCTACATCCTTTATCGACTCTATCTTTGTTTTGATTTTCGAAATTTCAGGTTCGATCCTTGCTGAAAATTCTTCTTTAACTTCTTTTGTTATTTTGGAGATTTTCCTTTCAACATCCTCGGTTATCTCTGCATTATTTTGATCACTGGCCTTACTAAAAATAGTTGATCTTGTTTCAGAGGATCGTTTATCAATGATACCTCGAAGATCATTATCAGATCGGTTTACTAATTTGGCCAACGAATCTTCAAATTCCTTAGTTGATTCTCGAGCAATTTCTTTTATATCTTCAAACTTTTTTTTGACGTATTCATGAATGGATAAAATTTTCTGATCAATATCCTTCTCGGTGACTACAGAGCCCATTTTAACTATTTTTTCGATTTCGGAAGTATGCTCTCCTTTTGATTTCGTTATAACCTCGGATTTAGTTTCGATGTCTTTCAGTATATCCTTGGTGGTAGATTGAACCAAAATTATTAACTTGTTGATATCAGATAATATATTACGTTGATAACGTGGCAATTCTGCAACGATAGTATCGTTAAAGGCCTTTGATTCTTTGATCTTTCGATCTGTTTCTTCTTTAGCTTTTCGATCCGCTTCTTCCTTAGCTTTTCGATCCGCTTCTTCTTTGGCTTTTCGATCTGCCGCTTCTTTGGCTTTTCGGTCCGCTTCTTCTTTAGCCTTTCGATCCGCTTCTTTTTTAGCCTCGAGCCTTTTAGCTTCTTCTCGTGCTTTAAGCTCTGCTTCAACCTTTTCTCTACGCTCAGCCTCCTTTCGTTTAGTCTCTTCCGCTGCTTTATGTTTGGCCTCAGGATTTATTAAATCTTGTACAAGATCCCAGATATTTATAAAGTGAGGTTCAATATAAATTCGATAAAAGGGAACAACATGTTCGTTATATTTTTCGACAACAAGTTTTACCAATTTCTTGGTAAAAGGAACGATTTTCGCGTGGTAATAATCTTCCGCTTGACCTACGAGTGGCACAATTTTCTCGCGATAAAAGGGCTTAACTGTTTTTTCGTTATGCTCTAACGCTACCTTGTAAGCGCCAACTGCATACTCTTGTGATTGGAGTAAAATTGGAGTGACATGCTTCTTTGCTTGATCGTAATACTCGTCGACATGTTTTTTTGCATGTTGATCATAAAATTTTTGCGCAGGAGTGTAAACATAATCGTTAGACAATTCCTTAACAGTTTGTAAATGGGGTTGGATAATTTCTAGTTGTGGATCCACATATGGTTTGGCATGAGTTTTATATGTTGATAAAGCGGTATCAAAAGTTTGTTTTCCATATTTTTTAACTTCCAAGACGCCGGGTTCGATATACTTATGAAACCAGTCATTAGTAAGTATATACTGAGAGATTCCATTATAGCAAAATCCTTCGAGCGGCCATTCTTTACATTGTTCTCGAGTTCTCCCGTGGCAAACGAAGAAAACCCCAAGCACGTAAATAAACATTAATGACCTGAACGTGAAAAGTCTTCTTAAAAAGCTGTTTTTCTTTTTTTTCTTTTTTTTCTGCAATGTTAAAACTAGTTAATCAATATGATCATGAGCGATAAATTATTAATTTTAAAGCCTACCTCAGGTTTTGGATCGGGTTTCTTTGTACTTTTCTGTTAAAGCAAAATCAAAGTTAAATATGTTGTAGTCCTAAATCAAGTAAATTAAATATACCTTCTCTGCTACTTTAGCGAACCGAATTTCATTCGATGCAGAAAACGTTGCATCCTTTAAAGTGTTGATATGACCGTCAGAACTTGGAGTTGCAGGCGGAGTTGGTTGTTGCACCAGCGGAGATTGAGTCTTATGACTTTTCTTCTCTTTTTTCCCCTTCCGTTTATTACTATCCATTCTACTTTCTTTTTTCTTTAGTTTACGTTTAAAAAATAATTTAAGTAGAAAAACCAAAAAGACGAATCTGCAAAGTAATATGATTTTATTTCGCAGAGTATCCAATCAGAATTTGACGCGTTAACTGATAGTCGCCTGACATCACATGTCATACCCAAATTTTATTTTGTTCTTTATCTTTTTTTACACGTATTACATTGTGTAGTGGGCCACTAATCGTAGAATTTACCCGGAGGCTGATTATCTGGAAACTCTTGCCGCTTTTGTCAATACTTATTATAAATGGATTAATATGGATTGGAAATACAAAGTGTAAATAAACCTAATTTAATTTGAAAAAAATATATTAAACCGCAGTATTGATAATAATCAAATACGGTATACTTAAAAAAAAGCATCAGATTATATTTTTGTTAACAATTCAATATAAATTATTTAAATATTATAAAACTTTATATATATATTTAAGATAAAGTAAATAAAAATCATAGTTATTTATTAATTTTATTGTTGATTTAAATTTAAAGTCAAAATTTTTTTTAAAAATAGTAACAAGTAATATTTTTTTTATTTGTAATTTTTAAAAAATTATTATTCTTGATTTATTAAACTAATTAATAAAATAATTTTATAAAAATATATAATTTTTTTTACGATATTTTGATTTATTTTTTATTATAAAATATATATAAATAAAATATAAATTAATTTGTTTTTTCAATGTAAAATATTAAACAAAAAATTAAAAAAATAATACTATTATATTTACAATAATAATTATAAGAAATAATAATTTTTTAATAATAATTTTATAAATAAATAAAATATTTGTTTATTTATTTATCTTTTATAATTCCCTTATTTTCAAACTTCAAATACAAAAAAATACAAGACTATTTAGCTTTAAATACTTTTGTCTATATGAATAACTTAGTATTAATTGCTAATTCCAAAGCAAAAATATAAATTTTTTTCAAATAACCAATCAATTTTATCAAATCAATAATATCACTAGAACTTCAAAAAGTATCAAATCAGTACTAAAATAGTATCAAAATAGTATTGATCTATAATAAATTTAAGTTCAAACCAATATCAAACAGATATTGAAGTAATATTGTTAAAAGTTCTAGATATCATATATAACAAAACTAAAACTTAAATTATAATAATATTAAAGTCAAGTATAAAGATTCAAGAACAATTAACATTAAAAAATTTCAAATTCGGGTTTTTAAATTATATAAAAGTATCAAATATTTTAAAATTCTTATTTCTTTACAAAACTTTTTCAAATTCAATAGAAAAGTTTTTAATTAAATAATTACTCAAATTTTAGATAAACTTAATAAATATTAATAAAAATGAAAAATTAAACAATATATTTATAAATAATTAATTATAAAAAAATTTGAATATTTTTTATCTATATTATATTAAACAAGAGTTTTTGCAATTTTATTTTAACAAAAATTAATAAAATTATCAAATCTATATATAAAATCTTTTTCAAATACTTTAATTCAATTATAATGAGCCAAAAAATATTTAATATATTATTATTTAAAAAATAACAAAAATTAAGTCTTATATATAATCTTATAATAAAGCTAATCACTTTCATAATAAAAAAATATATAATTCAAATTATATATTATATTCAAAAAAAAAAACTATTTGATTCTATCAAATTTGTAATTCAAAAAAATTTGATTAAAACAATTGAATATCTTATATAATATAATTAAAATTAGTTTAATCCATATTTAAATAATAGTTTTTAGAAAAAATAAAAATTATATAGAATAGTTCATTGTTCTAAAAATAATCTCTTTCAAATATTATAGATATGACAAAGATTCTTTAATAAATTTTTGTAATTAAGATATGTTTAATAAATAGTTATGTTTTATTAAGACATCAAATTAAAGATTTAGACAATTACAAAAATGGATTATTTAAAACTAATTAAAAATTATATGAACAGCAACTATTTATATAGTATTTTCTATTATAGGTTACCTAGGTTGTTTAAATTATTTGGACTGTTTGATCTATATGTCATAATGTCATAATTTTATAGATTATAGGTCTTATAGATCTTTTGAATCTTTTGAATTACTTGGATCTTCTAAACTATTTGATCTATATTATACATATAATAAAAATAAATTCAATTATTTTGCAAAACCCATATTATGGTAGAATTATTAAATAATATATAATAAATAATTGAAATTCATATTTAATTCAGAATTGTATTATCGATTAAATTTCCTTTTATAGTAATATAAACACATATGATTTATACTATCTATATTATAAATAAATATATAATAAATAATATAAGACCAAGTTATCTATTCTATTATAATAGTTAATATTGCAAAAAATCTTAATATTTAAATTTGTTCAAAATATTTCTTTTAATTAAAAAATATTTTCAACTTTATAAATTTACTTTTCAAAACCCTATTATCTCAACTTAAAGAAATTTTAATTAATATATTAAATGTTTTTAATATTAATTTTTCAATAAAATTCTCTAATATAACAGTTCAATCAAATTATTTTAGCTATAACTTATCTTGTATTTAGATATTGTATAATATAATCCTAAACTAATCTAATTCAAAAACTTCAGTAACAACAACAATTTAATCAGATTTTACAAATCTATATTAAATTCAAATTTATAAAAGATATTATAATATTTAAGAAAACATACTTTTTAAAAAAAAATACTATATAATTGACTTCAATAATAATCTTATTAAATATTTCAATTGTTCTTTAGATTTTTTTATCAACAATTTTTGCTTAATAATTTTCTTAAGTATTAATATTTTCTTACTATAGATAATAAATATAATTTTATCCAATACTAAGTATTGCATTTGCAACATTATTGAAGAAATATTAAACTTATTATCAAAAAATAAAATTACCTTTCAAGCAATTAGCATTTCATCTTTTATATCTCCTTTTTCTTTTTTACAAATAATTAGTTAATATACAAATTACATTATATTCAACTTTTAAAACAAGGTCTAATTATTAATAATATTAAAATTACAATATTCAATTTAGAACTTTCAATTAATAATATTTTGGTTTATATATAAATAACCTTTGCTTTAAGTATGATACTTTTATAAAAGATATATTATATATTTTTTTTGTATCTATAATTAATCTCTTATTAACAAAAAATTTAAAAAATTCAAAAATTCTTCTTTTAATTTAACTATAAAAACCTTTTAACTATAAACTTTATCAATAGAAATATATTGTCAAATAAAAATTTACTCAATTTAGCCATTTGTAACTTTTAACTATTCCTTAGTACTATACAAAAAAATGAGAAAAAATCTTTAATTATATATTTAAAATATTTTATAAAGCAAGAAAGCAATAATTTGTAACAGCATTTACTTTATTGTTATTTAATATAAAGTAAACTATAACCAAAAGTATAACAAGCAAAAGCTCAAAAAAAAAGAATAATAAAAACTTTATATTTTTAAAGATTATTAATATTTTATAAAACTCAAACAATTATACTAATAAACAAATATTTATTTCAACAATAATCTTATTATTCTAAATAGTTATTAGTTATTTAGTATTATTTCTATAAATCTACTTATATTTAATATAAATTTTATAGATAGTTATATTGCAATAGACTATAATTAATTTATATTCTCTTATAAAAATTGTTAATATTGTGATAAAATAGATAATTTAGTTTATTTTTATCAAATTATTATTAGTTTATTTTTAGCAGTAGGATTTATTATTTTATTATAGTATAAATATTTATTTATAGTATATATAATATAAATTAGACAGCCTATAGTGTGTTTCATCTAAAGACCAAACAGTCCAAAATTTTTATTCTGCAGATTATTCATTTGCTCAATAAAATGCTCTAAAATTACAATAAGGATTTGCAGTTTTCATTGATCAAATTTTATTTTGAAAATTATTAAATTTAAATCATTTGTCTATAGTGAAATATTTTTGAAAAAAAAGAGTATTGATGATTATGTTCTAATTCAAGATTTTTTTTATTTTACTTATAAAATGTTGTGCTGGCTAATATTTTTTCAAAATTCTCCTCAGTATGAAAAGTCAAATAATTTCACTTCACCAGCTCAATTCCTCTCAGCTAATATTTGCTTTAATTGGAGGTTTTTGTATATAAACCCCTTAATATTATATTACGTTATAAATACATATTAACAATAGTTAAATAAATTATTCAATATATGAACAAAGTTACCTAAAGATGATTCTAGTATAGCAATCAATAGATTGTCACCCTTGTTTAATTTTTGAATCTCCATTTGTCTAGTATCATTATGCCAAATATTTGACTATGAAGAAGTTCAATTGCCAGTATCAAAAATGCTAGAGTTTTACCTAATATTGTTAACATAGGTATAAATCACTAATGACGAAATGACAATACAAACAAAAGACCATACGTTACCTAATCCAGTTTTAGCAGTGCCTAGAACATTATAACCAGCTAATAAGTGTGGTATTATCCTTGCTTGAACTTCTGTCATTTTTTTGAATCTCATCTCCTTAATAACTTTTCTGGTAGGTTCTAAAATCTCCAATGATTCAAAATCGTAATTAATATCCATGGCCATATTTGTCAATAAAACCATAAATTGAATTGTCTTGACAAAATCTTAATTCGATAAATTAATGCAAAGTTGATTCACACTATAAGTTTCAATCTATGATACTTTGTTAGAGTAATCACCCACTATAGAATCATTGAGTTTTTGTTTTTACTTTTATTTCCTGTTTTTTTTTCAGGATCAACTATTTTATTATCGTGGTCAGAAGTAAATTCAACTCCTATTTTCAAATTCTTCAAATTGTCAGAGATAAAAAAGTTATATTTTTTTCTGGAACTTTCGAACTATCTAAATCATTAACCTCCATTTTTTATGTGCTATTTGAATCGAGTTGTTATTGTTCTTGCATCTTCTTTTTATTGAATCTCTTTCTTTTCTTTCCATTTTTCGTCTTTTCTCTGACTTCCATTATTTTTTATTGACTTTTTGATTTTTTTTAGCAAACTCACTAAACTTACAATCATTTCTAAATATAAACGGATTATTAATTGTTCTGTTGGCAAATTCAAAGAAAGAATAAGACATAGAAATAGTATTAGAATAAAAATATTTGATTCTATGGCTCTATAAAGTGCTTTTGCAGTTGATGCTTTTTGTCTTTTGGTTTGCTTCTCCGCCTATGCTTGTAATTTATTGGTTTGTAATTTGGCACTATTTTTTTTAAGTTCTATTTGTTTCTTATAGTAATCAGCATCTATCATTTAATTAAAGTTGGATTGAATTTGTTTTTTTAATCATTCTCTCGCCACCAATCTTATTATCTTTAATAAATTTGATATTCACCAATCACACCTATCATCCCAAAAAATTGGTCAAAAAGTCCCATGCTCTATTCTGATCCGTCAACCTTTACCTCTTATTTAAAAAATATGTCACTACTTTCAAAATTGTAGAATATACCCACTATATTTGACCTTATGACAATATGATAGCCAAGACAAAATTTTAACCCATCTTTGACTATTCCTGTACTTTCACTGCCACCTAAAAATTTTGAATAAAGTAAAATTCAATTTTAATATTATTAATTAAACAGTATATACTTATTTATATCATATACTGTGCACTTACATTTCTTTAAATTTCTGATTTAGAAAGTTGATTGAATTAATTTGTTCATAATTCATCCTATGTATCTTCAGGAATTCTTCTGTACGATTTATATTATTTAGCAGCATATTCTGCTAACTTACTTGTAATTCCATGTCTGTACAAATCAATATATCATCATGTTTTTCATACAAATCTATGAATTGTTATTAAATCAATAGAATCAAGAGCACAAGAAACTGTTTCTTGTAATTTGCTCCATATATAATTACAGTTATTTCTTGTATATCGTTTGGCCACTTCCCAATAATGTTTATCATATACTTTAATAAAAAAGCCTTAGGGTTTTGAAAGTTGAATAATTTATTTCAGTCTTTAGATAAAATGCACTATAGAAGGTCCAAACAATTCAGAAGGTCCAAAAAACCTATAAGGCCTATGATTTATGAAATTATGATATTATGATACATAGATCAGGCAGCCCAGGCAGCCTAAATAGTCTAGAATAGAAAACATTATATAAGTAGTTGCTATCCATGTAATTTTTAATCAGTTTTTAATAATTCACTCTTGAAATCATTTGACTTTTTGACTTGGTGTCTTAATAAAACACTATTATTTTATTAAACACAATTTGATTACAAAGATTCATTGGGAAATCTTTACTATATCTTGGAATATTTGGAAGAGATTATCTCTAAAATGACAAATTGTTTTATATAATTTCTAAATTCCTTCAAAAATTACTATTTAAATATGGATCAAATTAATTTTGATCACAATATAATAACAGTAAACTTACTATTTAAATAAAGTTTTATATTTAATATCTAATTATAATTAGCCTTGTCACATTATACTTCAGTAATAAATTGGAATAATGCTTCAGTTTAATGTTCCATTACTCTAATGGTAAGCCAATGGATATTGTTCCATTTATAAAATAAGTCATATGATTTTAACATTTTTTATTTCCAAAAACCATTATCTATTTATATATACTGTAAATTCATTTGTTTATATTATAAACTATTATATTATAATATGGATAAGAATAGCTTTAGCTACATACAATATATAAGTGAAACCAAAATCATGCTAAGCCAAAATTGCATTAAGCTGAAGTTTTTTTGATTTTCCAAAATTTTATTATAGCTTAAGCTAAAATTAATTAGTAAATTCATATTAAACCATAAGCTAATATATTGAGGTAATCACATGAATTTCAATTTATTAATTTATTCTTATATCCTATAATCGATCCATTTTACTATATATATTTTTATAGAAAAAGTTCAATTAACTCTTGCATATTATTTGTAGTTAGATTTATTATACCAAAGTTTATGTTATTCCACCAGAGATGCCTTTTTCCAGGATTATTAGTGTTATTAAATAAAATTTTTACAAAAAGTACTTCTTAAAACAAAATGAAATGAAATATTATCCTTGACAAGAGAGTTGTTCATTTTTCTAAAAGAAAAATACAACCACCCACCATGGTCTAGTGGCTACACAACCTCAAAAATTTCTTAATCATAAAGTCTAGGGCATTCTCAAATTACACTGGATGCAAACTACAAACAAATAAATACCCAACTCAATGGGTTGGTTAAATACCTGTCTTTAAACCTTACCTGGAATAAATGGTTTGTATATGTTATGCCATGTAATTATGTATTTTAGAGTGTTGCATCCATGACAGTTAATTGATTAATTAGTTGTATATAAAATGGATAATTTTTTTTTCTTTTTTTTTTATCTTGTAACCATTACTATTATGCAAATTAGAAAATCGTCACTATAATAGCATGCATATCATTAAAAGTATGCCTTTATAAAACAATAAAGAAATTTATTATAATTATTTTTGTAAAAGGGTTTGAGGTGAATCGATTTTATTGATAGGAAGGAATTTCTCTTCATCTTTCTTTTGTTCAAGTTTAATTGAAATAACATCAAACAAATGATAGATTCAAATTTGAAATCCCTAAGTCACCTTTCAATTGACTTGCTGAATTTTTTGGAAAGCGACAATTATGAACAACTAATTGGCATTTCAGATTTATTTCCAGAATATTATAGTATTTGCAAAAGGAATTTGATATATTAATTAGAGTTTGCAAAGATGTACTGGAATCAAAATTATAGTACTTTCGAAATATCCTACCTTATAGTCACATCTTGAAAGGTAATTGTAAAATTCTAGAAGAATCTCAGGTTTTGTCGAATATATTAGCCCCAGGTAGTTCTATTCTGCTGTGGTGTTCCAAACTTTTTCTTGGAAATTGTTTAATGCTTGATTAAAAAATTGGTAAAAAGAATGATTATTAGTAAAAATTTCAGTTTCGGGTATTGCTCAGGTAAATCTCAAATGCTTAGTTTTTCTGATTTATTCATTGTTCTAACCCACTTATCTAACTTAATCCTTCTCTCCATTACAACAAATTCTTTTACAAGAGTATAAATGAATTGAAATTAAATAGGATGCTCTATATCAATCTCTTGAAGATCTTGAATCATTTTGATATTGATGAGGTGACCAAAAAATTACAGAAACATATCTTGGATAACAAATCTAAATAGTTATATAACAATTTGATTTAAATTATTAACAGAATTTTTACTAAGCGATGGTGGCGAGAGAATTTATCATTACCTAATTTACAAGATCAATTCTGACCTATAGCATCTGTTGAACTCTAAAGATTTGATCAATTTGAATGAATGGTGCTTTTCCTTATTGCTGGATGACTAATGCCTATACATCAACCAGGATATGACCTGGGACATATTGGTAAGGTGGGGGTTTAACAGAACCCGATTTTAGGATATGACATAGTCTATTGGTCCACTGGGAATAGATACTATTGAGGGATGCTGTAGAGAAAGTCATCTCGCACATTTAATTCTCTTGAATTTCTCAGAATAGTTATTATGATAAGATTATCTCATTTAATAAAATTATTCCTTAGAATATACATGATCCTATTCTTCAATGCTATCTCAATAAGAATCTCTAACATAGACAAAGTGAAATACTGCAACACATTATTTTAGACAATTTGTTCATAATAAATTATTTTCATGCTGATATAATCCTGAAATAAATTAATTTTGAAGGAAAACAATTGAAAATAAACAACAAAATATGTTATAGCAAACAAGTATTCTTATATTTTATTATTAATAAAGTATATATATAGTGTTTTTATAATAATAAATTAAAGTTTATATAAATTATACTGTATATAAATTCAGTTTATTGTGAAATTTGATAAAACAAAAATCTCGATAAACCAAATAAATTGTCTTTTCCTACAACCTTCAGCTTATTGAGTTTCACTTGTACTAACCAGAATATAGGACTCAGAAAAGTCAATAAAATACATTATAAATGCAGCATATATGATATGCTATTGTAAATACAGATTGTTATCTACATTATAAACTAATTGAAAATTTTTCATTACCAAGGATACAGAGAATTCAACTATGAATAAGTCTGCAAGGTTTCACTTCCCTGCAGGATCATCTGCAGAATAATGCATTAACAAATCATTAGGTATCTGACTTTTGAACGCTAGAGTTTCTGTGTTTTTAGCCATAAGGTCTTCTAACCAGTTATTAAGAACCACTCTCCATTCATTATCAATATTAGTATTTGTGACTGAATTATATTCATTATTATTATTCATAGTGGTCATCTCTTCACTTTCATCAATAATTATATTTATTCCTTCAGAAGAGATTTCAATATTTTTAAAGAAGTATTCTGGATTTGATTCATAGTTTTCAGTATTATATATAATCATGTTTGCATATATATGTTGTTCTAATTCACATACAACCTTAATCACATAATTATATATTATTTCAACATTCATCTGTATCATTGAATATACTTTTCCAAGCTAATAGAATATAGAATAAGTATTTAGCATATAGTCAAACCT